TAACAGTCCTATTTGGCAAGAGATCTGGCACCATGAGTAAGATCACTGTGCTGAGAAAGGAGGCTGCACGTCACACTTCCACAGGCTTTGGAGTCAGTGCCACTACTTACGTGGAGCAGTTCTCACTTGTTGACAGCAGGCAGGACCAGGCTGTGCTGAACAGTCACACACTCACAGAAGCAACTTGGTGTAGATGCCCGAGGAAACTCCACCACTTATGTCTACATGAGTTTCACCTCTGAGCCTCTTTCTTCTTTATTTAAAAGAATTTTAAGCTACTTGCAAGGATGTCTCTTACTGTACATTGTTACTGAAATGGGTCCCTCATCTCCACAGAAGCTCTCAACTTATTATTTGTACTGCCCTCAGCAATGCAAATATTAAAAGAACATATTTAAACATCAGTTGTACCACGGAGTTTTATAGGAACAAACTAAATATACTCAAGGCCCAGTCTTAGCTTTTTGCTCTCCTCATCAAGAAGTTTCCATTCTACAACTCCTCTGTGGGAAAATGCTTTATTATGGAAACTGAGAATCTCTTTTCCTTGCAGTGCAATGTTCTGAATGTGTTCATGAATTATCGTGCAGAGTCAGGGACATCTTTTGTATTCTTGGAGTTTCAAAGCAACCTGAATTTCTTTACAGCTTATTATGAAGATTTGCAGCTGTTGAAATCCCTACTACAAAACCGAAGAACAAACCCCAAGCAGCCAAGCCATTTGTTTTTGGTTTTAATTATTATTCTTATTTGACACTCACATTACAAAATTTAGAAACCATAGACAGTTCAGGCAAACTGTTAAAACACAGTATAAATTAGGGGGCCGGGGGGGGGAGGGGCTTAATATATAAATCCTATACACAGGTGAGTTAGCTGGAACATGACTGACAAAAGGAGCTCATAACAATCTTACCACAACTGTATAAAAAGGCATGGGGATAGGATGGGCACTACCATCATGAATGCAGGTTAAGACGTTCTCCACAACAGCTACAAAGCGGAACAATGACCATGCTATGCTCGCAGTGGTTATGTGGGCTACAGAATGCATATTACCATTGACACTTGGCAAGGTCTATGTACAGTCACAAAACCATAACAAGCCGCTTTCAAGTAGCTTCGCCGTTTCCTGCCTGAGCGATTGACAAAGGGTTGGTGTTTGCTCTGAGGACGTCTAACAAAGCTACCTGGTTGGGGTGTTATGGATGGATTCAAAGTTGGACTCCGTGACCTCAAAGGTCCTCTCCAACCTAAATGATTCTACAATTTTATGGTTCTATGGTAGAGGGATTTCAATTTGACCTGAAAATGCTAACCCTAACATGAAATTGTTTAATTTAATGAAGAAGATACAGGAAAAGCACAGTTCCTCGTTGCTATCACTCACATGATAAGTACATACCAGTCTTTTAATCCATATTTATTTCCTAACTTGATCCTTTTTCTGAACTAAAATGATAATTTAGTTCCCATATTTCTAAGCACAGTTGTAAAAAGGAGTTACACCAGAAGAAATGTTAAACAAAAATCTGGATATTTTTGTGGGGTAATCTTTTGAAAGCACGGGCTTCCCAGGTGACCCAGGATATGCCATTCAACCTTTGAATTTCTCAATCTGAAAATAAGGACAGTTCTGCTTACCCATTTTTAGTCTGTGCTTTTAGGTCTGTGACTAAACAGTATTATTCTAACAGTTTTAGAATAGCATGTTCCTGGAGCGTAGGTTTCAGACAGCTCATAGTCAGTGTTGCTAAAAGTGAAAAAACCCTTAAAATCTGATTTTTTACTTTTATAAGATGATGAACACTTGCTAAGAGTTCTGAAACCGAGAGGATAATTTATTTTCCATCTGTGTTGTGTACCAGCACATGGTGTTTCTACAGACAGGCCCCTAAGGGAAGTACTTGCACATTTGTAAGAATCATATCTTGAAACACTTGAATTTAATAGCTCTGTGTGTGCATCTTCTGCTAAGTTTTAATAATTAGGAGGATTCTATTGGAACAATTCCTTCTGGTTCAAGGAGAGGACAGACAGTAAGTGATAACACAACTTGGGCTGCTACAGAAATACATATGATGTCAAATGTCCAGACTACAGCCCCCATTTTCTCAACTCTCTTTGCCCACAGGCCAAACATCAACAAAGCATCAAACGTTTGTTTCAAAAAGACTGGAATTTTGGAAGCATAATTAAATAATGAAAGCAGGGATATAGTACTGACCAGTAACAGTACTTCCTTCACTGAGGAAGTCACGTTTCTCTGAAAGGTAGCTGGGCTATGGAATTTTCTGTTCAGAACTCCATTAAATGGGCTTTGCACCTTTTAGAAGGAAGTTTCCTGTACAGACATTTAACTTGTAGGATTCCCAAGCTCTGAACTCGAAGTCTTTCTGCATTCAAGCAAGCCTGGGAACACTGCTGCACTGCAGTATTAATCTGGGCTGGCAGCTTTAGGGCCACAGGGATGAAAACACAGAAGGACTCCTATTCTATTCTGACAGATCTGGAGTATGATTACAGAGCCTTTGTATGGCAGAGAGCTAGAAAAATGTTCCTCTGGCATTTTGCAAGAGCTGTTTATGGAGCAAAATACCACTTCTGTGGAGAAAGGCACCAAGGGAAAAGGGAGCAGTCTGAGCCACTGTGAATTTACAGCACTACAGCCTGTGCCTGGCCAAGGAGCAGGGCAGGGAAACTGGGCAGGAGTTACTTGCACTCAGCTTTTTTTTCTGTAGCTGAGGCTGTAGCCTGAGTTTCAGTGTCTTGCACCCATGCAGAGTGTATGAAATACCACCCATACAGGCTGTTGTCTCCCCATCTACATCTTGCATAATGCCAAAATGCAGGATGTGATGCCTTGTATGAGCATTAGCTTTAATGAACTCGGTATTTTTTGAATATCTGAAAATATGCAAAATGTGGGAGAAGAATTGTAGAAGAAATTAATGCAAAACAGATTAAACTCCAGATCTGTAACAAATTCTTCGCTGTTTCATGTCCACTAGAGAAACCTCTTTTAGTTCAAAAGAATTTTCTTGCACTCATTCTGTTGGATGGATAAGGAAGCGTAGTAGGCTTTTTCCCAGATGGACTTCCAAGAACTTTCTACCTTTCCAAATGGATGTGTCCCAGCATCAGAAAGCTAAGAGTGCAGGCTCAGATATGAATTTGTACAGGATCATCTAATCCCCCCTGTGCCTCCATCAGCACATGTGGCTCCATACAGACCCCAGGTACGTGTGTGTTGTTCCCCAGCCACACTCCAGTGATGCCCTGCACCAACTACAGAGGAGATTTCACTCAACAGGTAGTGTTAGAAAGGACAAAAGAAGATGGCTTTGGTCCACAGTTGGGCCTCTGAGCAGTAACAAAGGGGCTTTTCCCTGTTTCCTTGTCACTCCCTAACCCCATTCTGCAACTACAACAATGGAAATAATCAGTTCACAATCAAAGGGGTTTTAATTTCCCATGAGAGAATCATCTGAGACACTACGGCTGATTTCTACCAGTCTAAAAAGAGAAAAAGGTTCTTAAAGGCAGAAAGTCAAATTTTGATCTCAGTCATGAATTAATCCATTGGATCAGATTTAGTCCTTGAATTTGCTGCTGAAATTTCAACAATGTCAAAGAAAACTTTTGCTAAGGCTGGATTTTCTCCCTATTAAGTGCCCCTCCCACCTGAGAGTTGCACCTGGCACAGGGACTATACCAGCTGTCGACGCAGTTTAATCCCTATGAATAAGTAAAAACTGTACTACAGTTAATAATTGCAGGACTGCTCCAAAGCCCACCACAATCAACTGGAATTTTTCCTCTGGCACGTGGCTGTGCCTGGGATCAGACTCATTCCGTGGAGCACGGTCATTGCTAAGCCAGAGACTGTTAACTGTGTAACATTTTCACCCTGATATGCATAACAGTATCTTTTCTACTCACAAGTCTTCTTGTTGATTACTCCGATCACATATTCAGTAATCTGTTCTAAACTGGATTTACAGTCATGTGCAAAGCAGCACTCACGTGCTTTAAGAAAAGGTGCATAAACTATTGCAATAAAACACAACAAACTAACCAAGATATCAGTTAGGGACAGGCTTAATTTTAAGTGAGTGATTATCAGCACTGACCACATCACAAAATATTTTCAAGATGGGAAAAAATATCTCTATGCCTAAATTGTTTCTTATTTGAAGTGCTTTAGCAGCAGTCCACACTTTGTTCAAGCAAAACCTCAGCAGTCTGCTTACGGATCTGCATGTTCTCTATCCTCATGGGGAGCTTCCAGAGATGTACAACAGGACTGTATTCACTGCCTAACAGAGGGAATGATGACAGGCTGAGCTCAGGGTGCTCTGGTGCACAGGGTTCTTGTGTCATTTACTCATTTTGAGTTTCTGCCCTGAAAACTCAGTCGCGCCCAGCTGACCTACATCCATCCACCTTTCGTGTGGTAATGGCATTGATGCTGATGTGAAACTGAGGGCAAGACTGTGTGATTTAAGTGTCTTTTGAAAGGCATCGAGCGAGTTCATCTACTTACTGACTTCAACACAAGCTGAAGGCACACAATTCCCTCATTGCTTCCCCCTGTGCTGCAGAATGGCATGTGCAAGAAATGGAAAAATAGGACTTTTGCTACCATTCTGATTACACTGGAGGAAGTACAGAAGTGATTTCATGTATTTGGGTCTTTTAAAATACTGCTGTATACCAGGAGCTAAGTTAATGCTTCTGGAAGACTGTACATACTCACATCTTTCTAGCTTAGGGGTTTGATACTAGCACTGCAGACCTACAGGTCTAGTTTTGCTCTGTTCTCTGTGTACATTAGTTCAAGCAGCTGTCAGAGAGGTGAATCCACTCAAAAAAGTGGAATTAGAAAGCCATGACATTACTACTAGCAACTTGTCTAGATATTAGTCTAATGACTACATGCCTTATAGGGGCTTAGTGCTTGGGTACCTTTATAGCAAGAAAAATTAATTACTCAGACATTTTTTTTCCCTCATTTTCATGTAATACTAATACATTTTTGGAAGAAATCTATTCCTCAAATTGTCATGCTTTGTTTTCAGTTGCACTCATGCTTCCTGAGCCCTGATGGTGAAGCAAGGCTGTAACCACTGACCTGCCAGGAGCTGGACACCCTGGTCGGGTCAAACATGAACTAGAAATGCCACCGACAGCTGTAACTTAAGGCTTACATTGTTTCTATTTACATCCAGTAGGATTTATGTGAAGACAAGCTATGACTCCTGGAGTCCATTTTTTAGAAGTGCTGCCTTCTCATTTTAAGTTGTTCTGCACTCTCATCTCCAAGTCATTCTGCAAAGAGCAGTGAGTGTCTCTGGACATCAAATGCTACACAATTTATATGCCATGCAACTCTATAAAGCAAGTCTGAGTACTCCCCAAGAGATGAGGATGTTTAGCACCTCTGAAAAAGACCTTTTTAAATGTGTGACTACATAAAAGCTTAAGGATATTTAGTGCTTTTGACAGTCCCACTAAGCCCTTAATACCCAACTAAATCTGACCTTTATGCTTCCATTTTAAGCACTGAGGTTCAAAAGTTTTGGACTACGAAAGTGGTTTAGTGATAAACTTGAGAAGATCTAATGTAACTTATACTTACAAAATTGATTGAACTCACGGAAGGTGCCCCAAAATATAAAGTATTATGATGAGAAATCACATTTTAATTATCTTCAGGGTTTTATAATCTCAGCTGTACCAGACTCTATTGGTTCATTAGAAAAGGAGTGAGGATTTCAAATTTAAGAAGCAGGTTTTAAGAAAAGGCCCATCCACCTACATTGCATCTCAGATAAATAAAAAACCTACATTTCCACTATGAAGTCACACTGTGCCTGTTAAAAAGATGCAGATAATAAGAAAAAATGACGATTTAGCAAACACACTTGAGCATTAGCATTCTTGTAAATATGTTCATGGTTATTGCTCTGGATTTGTCTGGAATTTAACAGGCTTTTAATGGCTTCATTTTGGAAATGGTTCTGCCTGAAGGAAAGGTTATGTGTGTATGTTCCTCTGTATTGCTCTCAGCTCATGTACAAAAATTAACAAACAGCATATTGACAGTATCAGCAGAACAATCATCATTCCCCGGCTGAAACGATGCTGGACCATCCTTACACTCACTTCTTCCATACAGAGCTTGAAGAAACACATCCAAGTTTTATGTCCCCCCTGCTTGAATTCACACACTGATGGACCTGTACGAAAGGGAGACTCAAAGCTCTGCCTCAAGCCCCTGTGTGAGCAAATCTGGCACAACCTGCCCAGCTCAGGCAGTGCAGGAGCAGCGAATTGCACGGGATCCAGACTGGAGGGGTTTCCACAGGTCACAACCCGACACCAGGACGGCACTGCAGGCACGGCACACCTGCAGTGTCATCACACAGAGCCTGCTGCCCTCGAACACCAGCCCACCCCTGCTCACAGCTCCCTCAGGCCTGGATAACTTGGATAACTTGGAGGCCTGGCAGAGAGCAGGAACAGTTCCAGTTTCCTGGTTAAATGCATAGTCCGACACAGCCAGGTTTTGTGATTAGCCTAATTTTTCAAAACACTACAGCCACTTGAAATCACTCCAAATGAAACTGAAATAAAACTGTTACTGATCTCAAACAAAGGGTTACAACCTTTTGTTGGAGGCAGAGAAAGACTGGAACATCTGAAAAGGCCAGCATCAAGTCAGTAATAAAAATGAAAAGTTCAATATCCTGTGGCATTTAGGTTTCATTTAAACTTTTTGAGGTCTTTTCTGGGGCAGCTAGAAACATTCCTTCCACATACAAACAATTAGTCTATTGTTAGGGCTTAGTTTTCAATCTAATATAGTACATTATAATTTAATATATCTGTTACAGTAGCACCTTGATTATTGTACAACTTTAAAGACCACACATAGTCGTTATTTCATATTATCTGTAAGGAAACGGTGAAAGTGGTTTAGATCCTAAAAGTAAAAAAGACAAAAATGGTTGTCTGCTCATGAATAGTGCATTCATTTTAGTCTGAAACCCTTTCTCCTTTTAAAGCATACTATGTAGTTCCTAAATTCAGAGCAATTAACCCCCCTCCCCCATCATCCTGGTGTCCTTTTGGGAAAAAAACAGTACTGTGTTAATTGGAACCTGATAGAAATGGTAATGAAGTATTTTTTTTTTTTAAAGTGTGATAAAACCCTCTAAAAGATGCAACTTGGCATCAATGAATTTAGGGAATACACTACATACATTAAATAGAGGTAAGTTGAGTCCAGAGTCATTTTCTTCTTCATTCAACTCCAGAAGTGGTAGGGGGGTGTCTTTAAGCAGCACCATCTGCACTCTGTGCCCTCCTCAGACCAGCCAAGATTCACAGTAAGAAAAGCAACACCAGCCGTGGGAAGAAGAACTAAGCAATAGTCACACTTGAGATTGTTCTCTGCAAAAATCCGTGGGGTCTGTGGGACTGTCCCATGCTGACATGGCCTGTACGTGACATCCATGGGAGTGGCGTCAGCCTTCATCCCTGCAGCAGTCAGTGCTTTGCTCAACAAGGCTGGGGGACTGCAAATGCAAGGTGAAGTTCTTCTTTCTTCACTCAGCAATTAACCAGATTGCTGCTGTGTCTGTCCTTTGATTTAAGTTTACAAGCCCCTGTGGGTTTGAAGAGCCGCTGTCTGAAGCACCTGCTTCTGAAATACTCGTGGGGTATTTTTGCTTTCCTTTTCTTTACACTTTTCCACTCTCTGCTGCAGCTCCATGACTCTCCACGCTCCTGCTCTTCCTTCAGAGGCAAAATAACAGTGATCCTGACGCAGTTTGGGCACAGCCACAAATGGTCTGTTTGTCCTTCCTTTCTCTGTGTCTCATAGCTAAGAAAAGCATCATTGTGCACACAGTCCTGTTGATTTCTGTGGATGAAGCCAGTTCATCCATCGTGTTAGGCAGTCAAAAAAAAAAAACCCAACGAAAAACTCAAACAAAAGGAATTGTCTAAATCCCAAACAGGCATCTTTGGAATCAGTAGTGCAAAATGTTTGCGGATTTCTTTTCCTTGACCTACTGCAATAATCTCATAATCTTCAAGTCTTTCCTAAAATAGTGGATCTGTAAATTTAAAACATAAGGGCAGTGAAAAACAAAAGGCAAATGTAAAGTGTTTTGTTGTTTGTTTGTTTGTTTTAAATCACTCTCTTCAGATTCTCACTTATATCAAACCATTATACATCTCTTATAAAAGCTGTAAATTGTCGGGAGATCCAGTTAATCCGAGGTATTTCTCATCTACACCAGGTTTTTGGCACGGGTAAAGCAAGCAGAGGGTATTCTTTAAATGGAGGATAATTTGAGATTACAATGAGCTTTTATCAGGGCTCTGCAAATTAGTTTCAAATGGAAGAGACCTCCCTCAAAGGTCACAGTTTAAATGCCTGCATTTCACGAGCTTTGGCTACCAGGGCAGCACTTTGGAGGTACTTCGGAAAGGAGCTGATAAAATGAGAGGTTACCTTAAGGATTTCCACCTGTCTTTTTCTGTCTGGTTTTCCGGACTTTCACTTTCATAGGAAGCCAGATACAAACCTGGAAAAGGTAAATATGTGTTATTCCAACGACATCAGTAACTCCCCTCATCTCTCTGTACTCTTGTATGTCCTACATTGAACGACACAGCAAGAGAAATTTATGGTCTATCTGGCTGGCAATCTTTTTAAAGCTTATGGGAACGTGATATCTTAAATGGATACCATAACACCCTTGAGTTAAGAGTGAGTTACAGAAACCAGAGAAAGAATGCAGTGGAAGAAAAGAAATGTCTTTTTTTTTTTTCCCCCTGCAAATTTTTACGCTTTAGGATGCAATTTATGACACCAAAATGTGTCTAGACTGTAGAATTTCCCCTGCACAAGCTGGCAGTGCATTCATATCTCACTGTCTTCACAGAACCACGGGCTGTGATTTGTGTTCACACACATTTCCTCATTTGACTGTTTCATGATGCTTTATTCTTCAATGCTGGAACCATCTCACTATTCAAGTCTGTGCTACAAATCAATTGCCTTTTAATACTCCGGTGTTGGCCCACCCTGTGATGTGCACAGTGCAGCTGCAGTTCACGTGCCACTGCAGCACCTCTCTCATATTTCCTCCCACCTTTTACTGAGGGCAGGTCTTTCTACTCTGCACTTCACCTGGGTAAGGGGGAGGCCTCCTGTGGCTTCTGCAAAGGGCATCTCATGAAAGCAGTATGAATATGAGGGATGGCATGAGAGAGAAAATCTGCAAACAATTAGTGGGTTGAGGTCACCCTTTTTCAGTCCAGTAGCCTGAAAACTGTACTTTTACCCCTGACTTTCATTTTCTGTCCCTATTGAGCCTAAAGCCAGAACAAATGCCTCAATCCTACCTCCTTTTGGTAACACATGACTTTAATCACATTAATTATTCTGTTCTGGCAATTATTCTGTTTTGGCAGTCATTCTTCTTAGGGTTCAGGCAGGATTTTAGAAGCAGCATTTTGTGTTTTGAAGTAGTCTGTGAAATAAAAGCTGTCTGGTCAGATTACCTTGGATTAGCACAGAAAACTGCCTATAGAATCAAGAAAAAATAAACCCAACACCAGTTTAGCTTAGGGGAAGGTAGCTATGGACAATTTGCATGACAATGTACCGAGAGGCAGCTGACAATGGGAAATGACACAGTCTGACATGCTGGATACCAAACTGAAGAGGACAGATAAAAGAGTATAAAAAAAGACAATCAGAGAAATATTTTCAGGGCTTTCCTAGCCACAACTTAAATTAATTGCTAGAAAAGGTTTTCTTAAGAATCCTTTTCTGTAGATAACGTGTTTCTTTGTTGGAGAGGAGGAGGTCAGCTGGACACCATCGCCCTGGGCTGTGTTTGCTGAAGAGATGACAGAGCTGGCTTGTGGAAGAGATTAGCTCTGGCTCCATCAATCACAGGCTGAGTGGCTAAGGGACAGCTGACATTCACAACAACAACGTGCTTGTGTGGCCTCTTTTTGTGTCCGCAAAAATAGGGCCACAATGGCAACTTTCTAGTCAGAGCCTTATGGAGAAGTTACAGATGACAGAAAAGGAATCAGGCAGTGGTTTCGTGTGCTAGAAGGTTGTATTTGCAAAAACCCATGGACAGACTGGGGATAAACAAGCTGTGTGACAGGACAGCTAGGAAAGAGCTGGGACTGGTCAGTGAGAGAGATGAGCAAAGCATGGATCAGGGTATTAATTAGTAGTGACAAAGAGACACATTTCCAACGATTAGAGATTGTACAGAGTCTTACCATCTTCAGTAAAAATGGGAGCAGTGTGCAAGTAGTGGATGATGTTAGGGTCTTGCTCAAAGGGACATTCCACTTGCTTCCATGTTATAAATTCTCCTACTTGCTTAGCCAGTTCCAGAAATTTCTGTAAACACGAAATCATTCCACTCAGATTATCTCACATTCAGTGTCTGTTGGTCTGCACTGAAAATTGCAGGCAAACTGTCTCAGTGCTATCGGAATGGGACAGGTAAAAACGTTTTTCAGATCTTACTTCAAAGTTGACGTGTCCATTTGGAAGGCGATTAGCACACCCTTCATTCAAAAAATAAATGTCTTTGATCAATAGGCTGAAGAAGGGGATCACAATCTGCGAAGAGAAATGACATAACTATTATCGTTCCAGTTCAGTATTTTCTCTGCATGAAAGAGCAACTCAGTTGGGAGAGAGGAGAATAAAGAAATATTAACTTTTCAGTGTGCTATGCACTTAAAAAGCAGAACAGTGACAGGCAGGCAAAAGGGCAGCAGTGTATAGAGAGACCTTCAGCCATCAGGAGAATGTAAGCTGAGATGAAAGTGAATGAACACAATGCTCACTGAGCACAATAACATGACTAAGAAAATGCTAATAATCTGGTTTATTATCAACAGCATCACTGTCTGATGAAAAGATCAGACAGCAAAGAGCAAAATAACACTTCACAACTCTTCCCTTTTTTGTCGTGTCTTTATAAGCAAAGATGTTGAACACACAAATCAAGCAATTTAAAGACAGCTGGGAATCAAAGAACCAGTATTGCCCCTGAAAGGAAAGGCAGAATAGAATTTCATGACCAAGGACTTGTCTACAAACAGTTAATGGGAAGCTGTTTCATGTTCAACAGCTCCATGCATGGCTACCTCTCGAGGCATGTCATTTCCTTCCTGGTGCCTGATTAGTACAACCTGCTCCTCCAAATTAACCCACAGACAGTAGGACTGAAAATATTGAGTTAGTTGACAGCAAACTGCCAACACTAGCCAGAGAGGCCATTGTAGTGCTCAAAATCAGCCCTGGCCATCATCCAGGGCGCAGTGGTGTATGCAGTGATCCAAGCCTTCCCCTCTAACCCACCAGAGCTGGGTCATAATTTGCTATAAAAGAAGTCTGCTCTGGGTAAGACTCTTGAAATTAATGGAATTACAGCAAGGATAAATTTGATGCCAGATGTTGCACAGCAGAACACAGTAACAATGCTCCTTAAGTGAATCCCCAGCATTTCAGCAGAGATCCAGAGTGAAGCAGAGTCGCTCCAGGTCCTCTTGTGAGACAGCTCGAAGGGAAAAGAAAGGAAAGACAAAGGGCCAGTCCATGACAAGGCTGACTCCCAGGGCTCTGGGATCTGATAGTCAAATCTCAGTCTACCCAGCTCTCCAGCAGTTGACACGCAACAGAAAAAGGCTGCTTGGAGGGTCTGAGCTCTCAGCAGCCTCTGAGAGCATTTTCCTGTGGCAGCAACACCTGTCTTTAAAGCCACTGAGGATAAACTTAATCACCATGAACGTGAAGGAAAGCACAGTGCATGGTGGAGTGTCCAAATGCTTCCACTGGCCGACTAGCATATCAACTGAACTGTAGCTTGTTAAGCAGCACCAAAGCTAAAGTGCCTTCATGGCAAGCAAGACCAGCCAAGGGAGCAAACCTTTAGTTAAGTGTTTAATGTTGCACTGTTATTCCATCTCATGCTGTACATCAGCTGTAACGGGATATGAAATGGACCTAGAACAGGATTGGCAGCTGTTATTTTCCAGTCTACAGCCTTGCTAGGAGTACAAACAAGTCACAGACATGAAAACACTCACTGAGGCAAGGAGTCCACAAACCACTACCAACATGTGCTGTAAAAAAGGAAGCCAACTTCTATTCCAGCTAAAATACCACATCCAGTAAACTCCTAAAGACCTGCATCTCTGCTGGCTTTTTTATGGGACAGATAAACTCTGTAATGCCACTGCAGTACCCATAAAAAAGCCCGGTCTAACACTCCAAGAGCCACTGATTAAATACAGGAATGAAAACAAAGCACATCCTATCCCCCAAAAATGCTGAGCCCTCCTATCAGGGTCAGGGGAGCAATTTGTAGTCAAACTGAGCTAAGTGTGTTTCAGGACTCATTTTCACAATATGCAAACTAGATCGATCAACCTGCAGTAAACAATATAATTCAGTCTATGTGTTTTCTACCAAAAATGATGATGAGCACTGTAACCACTGTGGATAGATAGAGAGCTGGAGCCAGACAAAGAATCCACAGCTAGAAAGGACTGCCAAGTTCTGTCTACATATTTTTTTTTGCAGGCAGATGCGAGCTTGTCCTGCCCTGCTCCACACTGCCTGGGAGCAAGGTCACCACCATTAGTGGTACTGAACATGAGTGAAAAGCCTTGCTGAGAGGGAAGGTACATGAATGTGGGCTCAATGCCACGCTAATACAGCTACAAAGCCACCAGTCAGCTGAGAACAGGGCAGAGCTCATTCCCATCTGCATCCAAAAGATGCCAAAGACATACCCAAGGATACCAGTTCTTTACACATTTTCATGGGATTTCTGTCTTTGGGTCACCATTTATTTCCCCAATAAAAATGCATTACCCTGTATGTTTTGCTTTCCAAATTCCTGTAGGCAAACCAACAAAAGTGGTTATAGCTGCTCTCTAATATTGGCTTCAATCCAGGCACTTTACTAGCATAAAATCTGGGTTAGTGCCAGAAACTCATCTTTGTCTCTGTTTTGATTCCCCCTCTCCCGTGCCATCCAACCCACCCACATGCCGAAGCACAACTGCCTCCTGCAGAAAGGAGAAAGTTAATGAGATCCAACATGTTCTTCCTCCACAGTATCAGACAGCAACAACACACTGTCCACACTCCCAACATTTCAGAGCCAGGGACAAGTCATCAGCACAGTGCAGGGTCTCCCTGTGGAATGACTTAATTGTGGAGGTCATTTGACTGCACAGACAAACCCAGACTTGGTTACTAACGAATAACACCCCTCTGCAAGCACAGCTCAGTTGGAAGATAAACATTTTCTTCAGAGTGAGCTTTGCTATGAGTCTGCCAAGAAGCAACATAACATTTTCTATCAAAAAAGTGATCGTGTTCTTTCAATTTTCCTCAAGCTCATTAAAACAACAACAGAAAAAATATTAGTCTTGCTTATAAAAAGAAACAAAATTCCTTAATCCTACAGCAAGCATTGCATGATCTGCTTTATCTGACACTGTAAAATACTGTTTGAATAGCTACCAAATCATATCCTGGAGCATTTTCTTGAACTAATGTTCAGAAAACAGCATATGGCTTTTTCTGAGGTAAACTAGATTCCTTTTGATCCAATAACCTCTCTGCCCTCAGTATTAACCAGCTAGGGGTAGAGATATGACAGAGATTGCTGACTTCACAGGAAATTAAGTCAAACAATAAAGAACTGGTTTGAATATCTGTCATGGTCACAGAAGAACTAAACTGCAAAAGCACCTCAGACTGACAGGTCCTCACTGCAGCGTGTGAGAGTTAAAAGAATTTCCTTGCCAGTCCCAAACATCCAAAGCCATCATCCCTCCTTTGCACAGAGAAGTGCTTTTCAGAACAACTCAGTGTACTCCCACTGCAGCTGAGTCAGCCTGCCACCAGATGCTGATCTCATTTCACTGTAAATGCTGTGACATTCCATTAGCTTCAGCAGATTTACATCAAATTTACAGGGGTGTGAGATTAGCATCTGGTCTGGCTCCTCTAGTGAATGAATACTAAATTCCATTATTATTCTTGTTCCTGCAGTATCTACTTTACCTTTGCCATGCCCTGTGCAGAGATTACCCATTTCTGACTATGGGCAATTGTAGTGTTAAATACAAACCCTCTTCCATGACATAAAAAAAAGTAGAGAACTGAATTGAGAAATAAGAAAATTAACAAGAAACACGCTGGGGCACAAATCAGGAGGATTCTGCACTCCAATATCTTGTCAGTCTGATTTTTGCAGCATCAGTGACATGTCAGAAAGCTCCGTATTTGCCATGAACACTTGATGAAACACTTCAATTCTTGCTCACTGAGATGGTAGCAACGATCAAATGAAATGAAAATTCACAAGGACAGAATATCACCCCAAATTTGCTGCAGTGGATTCAGACTAGACTCCTCTGCAGTGCTCGTGGTAACTCATCTTTCCCTAATGTAAGTGGAGAACCACCTCGTCTCCAGTGCTGTGCCCTTTGCTCTCCACTCACATCTCACACTGCACAACAGGGGCTTGTCTGCCAGAGCCTCAGAGCACAGGTGTAACACAGCCCAGTTCCACCTGGGCCTGCCAGGCTGATGCTTCCAGGCCAAAATAAAAGTCATTTTAGGCTAGAATACCTGTTCCATCAGGTTCATCAATCTAAACAACGTGAATTTCCTGGTGATATAGAGACGCTTGCAACAACCTCCCCCATATGCTGTGTGTTGTGCCCTCTCCAGCCCCACAATGTCTGAGAGCGAGTCCTCAAAGCCCTTGGATCCACTTCAGACTCTTTCAGCCACAGGTTTACATTTCCAGTTGCATTTAGCAGCACACAGGCCTTGCACTGGTGACCCACGGGAGGGAAGAGAGAACCCACGTGGGGAGGGATGAGATGTGGTCACACCCACCTTCTCCCTGTTGCTGTGGGCGGTGAGGGACCTGTGGGCAGCCCCCCGCAGCGCTGTTCGGTAGTTGTAGAAGTTGCCAGTGGGGTCCATCTGGTGCTGGATGCACAAAAGAAGACACTGCTGGTTAGAAAGCAACCTGGGTCCTCTAAAGACGACTTTATGCTCAGTGGCAGCAAACCCCGAGCAGAGCTCAGCCTACACCTTGAGAAGGTACTTCTTCAAAACCCACACACCTGCAAAACTCCACCCACCAAAGACACAGCGGGAGGTTACAGCCCATGGATGTTCATACCTTTAATTTTTCTACTAACAGCTTTCTGAGCTTCTATGGGAAAGAATAAGGACTGCACACTTGATATATGCCAAATACTGGAATCCTCAATACAAAGAAACAACCTTGGGCCATTATTGTTCACTCAACATCCAAGGTATAGATTGGGAACTTTACATTCAGCATCAAGGGAGGCACTATGGCATATAGGCTCATATTTCTGGTGTGTTGGTTATTTTTGGTTTTGTTTTTTTTTAATTTATCCTATTTATTTGAGTGTCTGAATCCCCTCTACGTATCAGCACCTTCACACCTTCCTCACTACACCTGGGAGATTTCAGCTTAGAATCTGGCCCTCTGCCCTGTGAAACATGTCTGCAAACATCTCATACCTGGGCAACAATGTGAAAATTCCCAAACAAAAAAAATCCAGACTATAATTCAAGCAGTACATCAGCACCATTTTTTTTTTTATTTTGATTTTTATTTTCTTTACCTCAAGAATGAAAAATTTGGCTGTTTTCACTTTTGACCAAGTCTTCTTTAGCCTGGAAACTGGGCTCATGTTCATTCCAGCTACGAGTGAGAGAGAAAAAAAGAGAGCCGTGGATAAGAGTTGGGCTTCCTTTTTCATCTGCGACAGCCGGCGGAGAGACCTGGTTAGAAGTTGTACTTACAAATGATTGCCATCAGCGAATTAAAGTTCCCTATGTTAAAGCACTCTCGGGCAACATCAATGAAGAATTCAATGACTTGTGCTCGCTGTTTCTTTTTTGCAGGCTGCAAAGTTAAAATAAGTGAATATCTGTAATAAGCAGAGGCAGAACTGGAGGTCATCCTAGGCAGCTGTACCACGTACAGAATGGCTCCACGCACAGTTTGGGCCATCTGCTATCAGTCACTGGCCCTAATTCTGCTCCAGCAATCCAGTGGATGCTGGTGACTGGCAGCCCCCAAAATCAAAGCTTTCATGGCAGTGACACAGAACAAACCCACAGCGATCCCCAGGCTCGTCTCAGTGACTGGAACAGCAGCCCAGGCAGGGCCTCAGCTCCCTGCTGGCCTCCCTCCAGTCACTGGGCACATCAGCCCAGACTTCCCTCAGGGCAGGATTTCACACCCACATAACAGCAGCATCCTTGTCCCAGAAAGAGTTCGTTTCTTTGCATTAATCCCTTTCCCCTCTTCAGTCCCTTCCAGCAATACAGCCAGGTCAATGTGCATTTTAAATACACATTTTAATTGGGCTGGAATCATCCTCCCTTTCCCAAAATTGATCTTCAAGTGGTAATTCTTATGTGTCACGGGCTATCCAGGCTCTTCAAACTATTATTATTCCTTCCTTCCACACCCTTTTCAAAGGGGAAAATGTTAATTTCATTTTGATGGGGCCAAATTAAACAAACTAAAGCCACGGCCAAGCTAAGAAACAACAGTCACAGTAATGGGCAACAGGACAAAGAGCCATGCAGTGGGAATTTACACACACACACCCCAGAGCCTTAGGATGACAGGTAACAAATATGCCCCCACTAGAATCTTTTCCGGCAGAAATCTCACAGGATAATTCGAGGCATTTTTTCCTCTCTTTTTCCCTGCAGGGTTCATTATTCCACACTGTGCTCCCACTACATCAAGAGAACAGTGCATCCCTCGAGTGCTGCCGGCTCTGCTCTGCGACGTGTTTGTCATTTATCAGGTCGCTCCTGCAAGTGCAGGATCACTAAAACTTCCCGTCAGACGCTTTGCTGGGTCAGGAGAAACAAATCCCCAGGTTTGCTCGTTAATACAAGATCTCAGAGTGGTACCTCAGGCACGTGGTAAAACACTCCCCACGCTTTGGACTTACCATGCAAATTTCTGTTGCTACAAGATAGCAGAGCCTGTTGAACCATTTCACGTAGGCCTCGAGGTTACTCGTCTTCTTCTGTTCACTGAAACAAGTCTGGGGGGAAAAAAAAGCACTGAAAGATCGAACCGTGTTCCAGGTTGCTGCCTGATCACTAAGATAAATACTGGACAAAGGTGATTACTGGCCACATCTCTCTCAAGCACGTGAAGACTCATCTAAAAGTCCACGGGTGGGTGGCAGATGGGGGTCCAGCTGAGTGTGTCACACCTCACCATTCCCACTGGTGTGCAGAGAACAGCCCGCTCTGCCTGCAGCGAGTGGTCACTGACACTGGCTGCACTGACCCTTGCTCCCTGGGGTATGAACAGCTGGGGCATGGCAGGGCTCTGACAGCAGCAAGAACACGCAGACAAAATAAGACAGGCACAGCCTTCCACGGCACACTCAGTTTGTGGCCTTGATTCTGGGAGTTCCTTCAGTAAATGCAATCACCCACAGGCCTTTTCTGGAGGGGAGAGACCGGAATTTAGGGACGTGTACAAGAGATAAGCGAGAGAAAACACAGTTCTGGTCACTTCTTTATGAAAAAAAACAAAACCCAAAAATATTTCCCTAACTGAGTTTTCAGGAAAACAGGCTCTTGGTGACCAGCTCTGCCCTCATGGCTGCGCTTGAACAGGTCACTTACACGCCAGAGACATTTCAGTGATAAGAGCCATTACAGGAAGAACATTTTTCACTTACTTCTATAGAACTGAACATAAACTCCCATAACTGATACAGGCTGTGGGAGCAGATATTTGGCTGAACTCTTCCAGTTCCTTTGTCATCAGCAGAAAATTTGACTTCAGAGGAGTGATAGGGCAGTTGGCACAGCCTGAAGATGTTGCTTGGGATTGTAAGAATTCAAGTCCCTTTCCCAGCCCCAAATTGCTAGACAGTCCATGTAGGACACACAGCTCTCTGGAGATCACGAGATTTGTTTGAACATTCATTAACATCCACTAGAGGGTACCAGAGAATACTGATTTTTTGGTTTTATTAGGATGATCCTTTCCCAGCACTACCATAAACACGTGCCACTAAGAAGAAAATCACAATGCATAAGCACAGATCCATTAATGTCAATGGGATCACTCACATTATGTAAGGCAAACAAATGACTAAGAACCCCTTCAGTAATGGGGCTTAATTGGATTCCCAAGGTAATTCTAAGTAAGAAAATATTCACCTGTCATTCTGTATACAGGCATGTTTAGAAACAGAAATCACAACACCACGCTATGGAGGAGCAAAGCTTAACAAGGCTGGAATTCTGAGGCACTTTATGGATAGACTGCATATACAGTAACAGTGTATTTCTAAAGCATCTCAAAAGTAAATGTCAGCAAGCAGCATGTAAATACCAGAAAACCCAAAGGAAACCCAAATCAGCCCCACTCCACCCACTGCAGCTGCTTTTCATGTGCTCTGTTTCTTGTTCCCTGTCACAGCAAAAACCACACGAAACCCTGGTTTTGGTCCAAAGGTGGTATTTCCATCTCAGCACTGTTGTCCTGTGCCAGGGCATAAGGACCACAGCTAATAACCCAAAACCTGTGAAAAATGTGCAGCAGTTGAAGTTGAGACAGGCTGCTTTCTAAAGGTTAAGCTTTATAAACGGCAGCAGTATTTAGCACCTCCCAAGCATCTTCCATCTGCAACTCAGAATGCTTGATAAACACCCATAAGTGAAGCCTTTTGAAGCCCTCACGCTAGAAAGACGTTTAATATGATCTTCAGCTGGAAGGAATTCAGACCTGAGCCAACTCCCTGTGCTCAACAGAGGTGTTCTTCCCAGGTCAGGGAATATGGGACTCCACATAGGGTTTGTGCTGCTCTGTTCAAAGACATGTCCAGAGAAGGGCAAAGGAGCTGGGGAAGGGTCTGGAGCACAAGTCTGAAGAAGAGTGGCTGGGGGGGCTCAGCATGGGGAAAAGGAGGCTCAGGGGGACCTTCTTGCTCTCTCTGACTTCCTGGAAGGAGGTTACAGTGCAAGGGAGGAGTTCCTTCCCAAAGAATGTGATCAATGCTCAGAATACCTGGAACTGAATTCCTGCCATTTCCCTCACCCTGAAACCAACTGCAGAACCTCTGTAACTCTGAGAAGGGCCCAATGTTGCACTTATTTATCCATCCATCCATCCATCCATCCATCCATCCATCCATCCATCCATCCATCCATTACAAGCTCTTTGTGCAGCACTACAAACACAGGTCTTCCTGTTACGTTCAGCATCCAGTGAGGAAATTCTGCCATTGATGTATGATCTCAGTGGGAGCCCATATGCAGTTCAGGGGAAGAATTTTCCATCCTCTTTCTTTTCAGACAATATGTGAAATCTCTGACTCTCCCTCTCCAGCTAGGAAGTCTCTTTCCTCATTGAGGGACTCACTGAAATGCTTCTTCAGAGCCCGGTGGAATCAGTGGAAAGACTCCAAGTGGCTTTCACGGCCTTTGGATGAAGCCCTGGCCAGGCACTCCACTCCCTGTGGTGCTTTGGGTTAACAGCTATTGTGTGGAGAGAGAGCAGTACGTTGATTCATGACGCACTGACTCATTACTGTGGTGTCTGGGCACACACTCTGGGCATGACATCACATCCCGAGCCTCTGAACCTTCAACAGAGGGAACAGACATTCCCTGGATGTGTAAAGCCACAAACCATCCATCCCAGTCAAAGCAGGTTGGGAGGAACAAGCCAGAAAACAGAACATCAGGATGCTGGCCAGTCTCGGGCTGGGCTGTGCTCTCACCAGGAAGGAATGGCAATGACCTGCCAGGGCAAGCTCTGCCAACAGGTCCCATCCTTGATGGGAGGACACAGGTCACCACTTGGCCTGGCCCTGGTCAGCATGTGCCTCAGGCCCAGCTCCTGGGGACATCATCACACCGGTTCATCTGGGCAAAAACATCACAGGAGACACTTGGCATGCAGAGGAGCCATACCTTGGTGCCATCCAGAGGGTCTTTATGTACAAATGCCTGCACGAACTCCTCGGGTCCAATGTGACTTAACCTTTCCTGTTGGGGGGGGGAAAGAGAGAGGGAAAAAAATCAGGAAGCACCCCAGAATCTCCTGTTTCCCTTGGTAAGACATTGCCATGTCAGCTCTGAATGGTGTTACTGAACTGGTAGACAGCCAACTAGCACTACACATTAAAATTCATAAGAACAATTAGAACTATTTCAGCAGAAAGAAGAAAATGAGCATAAATATGTCTCATTACTGACAAGCCACAGCAAGAGTCCTCTCCACTGTGCTGGATGCACAGGACTCTATCTGGGAGCCAGCACTCCTCAGTTCTGTGCTTGATGCTTCCTCAGACCTGCTATGGTCCAGCAAGTAACTGTTTTAAATAAGCAACAAATAATTCTAACTAATAAATAAGCATCAAAGCATCAGACAGTTTCAGTGCAGAGTACTTGGTGTATCAGAAGTAGCAACGAAAAAGAAGGCAGAGAGCATTGGCTACAGGACAGTGGAATGAAAACCTCTAACTGCATCTGTTTTAAAAAGGCAGTGATGCCTCAGTTACAGGGAATCTCCCCCTTGGAAGACAGTTGTACTGTGGAGGAAAAAACCCACAAAAGCAAGAAGACTCCAGGCAAAAGGAATTCTACTCTCTGGCTTAAGTTATATAAAGCAAAGAGAGCCAAGCCTGCATGTTCTGAAAACTAACCTAGTGAGGTGATCCTACACTGAGGGTTTCTGAACCATTCTGCTTCTTGACAAATAGAATATCAGCTACCTTCAGAATTCCCAAGGCTAATTTCATGATATTCACTCCAATCCCCAACCCATTTCATGGTTTGTTTTTCCAGCCTTCCTCTCAAGGCTGAACAGTGTCCACAGGAGGACAGGCAGCCACGAGTCATCAGAGCAACAGGAGATCTGCAGAGGGCAGCAGTGTTTTACATTCTCCTGTGCACATCCAGGGAGGACCTGACCCTGGGAGAAGGGTGTGCAACACAACAGGCTGTCCGATGTTTTGGCACTGCAATTGGAGTGATCACCAATTTGGGAGAGGACTGCAGCTCAAGGGGGGGAACAGCAGGACTTCGTGTGGGTGGTAGCTGCACACCCAAAGGGAAGAATGAAAACCATATCAGACAACTCAGGTGCTTTGTGCATCACGAGGAAAGGATCTGAACTGCTAACATTTCTTCCAAATTGGCAGAAGGGTTAAGGACCAGCCATTTCAACAGCACCTGCAGGTTGTGGGGCTCTGAGCACCTTCCTGGGGCTTGACCTTCCTAGGACTGTGATTCACGTTTCACAAATGAGCAAGCTGAAGTGCAGTGACCCTCCCCAAGATGCACCAGGAACACTCTGATTTACAGTTTGCTTCCCAGGCATCCCTTAACCTGTCAAACCCTGCCTCCTGCTGCAGTGCTGATGCAGCATGGGATGTGCTGCAGCAGTGCAGACATTTTTTGGTTATGTCTGGAATACTTAACAGCTGATGGCTTAAAATAATTCCTCTGGCTGCAGAAGTTGGGAACCATTCCCACTTACCAGCTCCACATGTGTCAGCTGCTGAGCCAGAGTGTAGGGGTCACTGCAGACGCTCAGGATTTCTCTCTGAATTGATGGGGGTTTAGTTTTAAAGGCAACCAGCTTGTCAGAGACAGCAGAACTGATCTTGACAATCCCTTCTTGCCCATGGCTGAGGGTGGCAAGCTTCTGATTCAGGGTCTGCAAAAGCTGATTCATCTTTTTCCAGTAGGCCTGAAGAGAGAGGGAGAGAAAGAAACACAAGCCACTCAGAAAATTTGACAAAGGAGTGCTTTTGTGCTGAATTTTCCCTTCTGCAAGATACTCCTAAGCCAGCAACAGGTTAGCATTTTATTTCCAACAAGCCTATTTCAGAATAACCAGTTGGCTTAATTACAGTTCTGTGCTCTGGACCACAGAAACAGGCTGCAGTCAAGAGAAGAGGCAGGCAGGGCTGGTGGGTTGGGCTGGCACTGATACTCCCATATTCCTGCCAACATCAGGGTCAGAGGAGAGGGAATGCTACAACATGAGTTACTGCAGCTTTCTGGAGCACAGAGAATTCAGTGCCTATCCTTTACAGCAGCTACATGTTGGCTGAGAACTCCACCTGTTAATGGTGCCTTGTCAACTCTTATTTATTAGGAGAAAGAAATGTTTCTAACACTATCCTCTCCATCCTTTGTGAGCTGAAGGCAGCAGAAGCATGCTGCTGCTTGCTACCCAGGTGGAGTGGTTGGAGCACTGTGTAGCTTTGAGTGTTTAATATCCAAAGTGTTAACTGCTACTGAAAGGAGCTCATACTGCATTCTGAGCACAGCCACGTGCTCAGCAGGATGATCATTACTAAGGTGCCCAGGTTGTTCTCAGAGCTGGAGCAGCTCCTTACAGACAATGAGTGAGTGCAGCTGCTGGCCATGGAGGATGGGCAGAAAGAAATGAGTTCAGCTCTTCACGACTGGCAGATGCAGAAATCACAGGACTCAGATAACTGGGAGAACTGGTAGACGGGCTCTATAGACAAGGATTGATTGGAAATGTCCTTGGCAAAAGCCATACAGGGAGGATGAGGTATACCCTGCTGAGGAATATGGTCTCAAGGGCTTTCCCAGCCAGAGAAAGGAGCACTGGGTGCAATGGGTGCTTGCCCAATTTCAAAGGGCATATGGTCACTTGGGAGAACAGTTTGCAGGCTGGTGACTGCCAGCAACTCTTCTGCCACAAAGACACGCAGTGGAGACATCCCCTGGCTGCTCACGGGTGGAATAACTCCTCACTCCCCACCCAAACAGGGTTTAATCATGTCAAGTTGCCAGTAACATCGGTTTGGCATCTGTCAGTGAGGAACCTGGGCTGGCAAGGAGCCTCTGTTCCACCTGCACTGTGCAGATGTTCACCCTGGCACGCCGTGCTCACCCTCAGCACAGGGGCTGGGCCAGGCAGTGCCTCCCACAGAGACCAGCACACACCTGTGCCATGTCCCAGGCTGGACACAGCCCAAGGGAGCTCTTGGGAAGTGCTGAATCCTGGGGTTTAGATCCAGCCTTTGTCTCCTTCAGAGTTCTGTAGGCTGGGGATGGTCTTTAGTGTTGGGCACTGACAGTTTTAAATAAAGCTGTTAAGTCTGAAATGAAGCAAGTATGTAGAAAGCAAGAGGACTTGTCTGGGAGAATGACAACACAACAATGTATTTGGAAGCAAATCACACAGAAGAGTGAAAACTGAGCGAGGAAAATAAAACCCCACTCCCATTCTTTATGTTATGGATGTGTATTAGCTCCAAGGAAAAGGGACTACAGGCCTTCTTCATGTAATTCCTCATGCAAACAGGTGGTCACACTTTTGATTTACAAAGACTGTTCCAGACTCAAACTACTGACCACCATCTAAATATTTCTCTCTTTTACATCCAGGTGTGTTTGCAAATCTGCTTATGAACATAATGTTATTTTTTCAGTGAAAACTCTAATAGTAACATATTTGGTATTTTGTGAACATATTTTGTAAACAGGGAAATTAATTGGGGGGGAAAAAGGGGGGGAAAGGCCCAGCACTAAAATCCAAGTCTTCTAATGAATATAAAACATCTGGCTAAAAGGCTTAGCTGGAAACTTAGTTATCTTTCTAAAAGGAGTTTGGATGGGAAATCTTGGACCAGCCATGCCTGTGCAGTATCAAATTCTTCACTGTTTGGATGAAAAGCCAAAAAGCAGCATAAGATTGCTTGAAAGACATGCATATTAGCCAGTCTTTCAATAGATCCTTATCAAGAGATCCAGTTTCACTTGGTTTTGTAGGGAATATGGCACAGAAAACAGATCTAGACAACAGTAATCGAAGATTCAGGTAAGCCAATCACCTAATAAAGAATGAAATAACAGACATGCTTAAGGGACACAAAAAATGCCACAGAAATTAGAGCTCTTGAAGACACAATTAGTTGGGTGCACCCTTGCCCAGAAAGCTTTTCTGTGTGCATTGGAGGAAAAATTTTTAAAAAAAGTTAAAAAAAAAAAAAAAAGAAGTCCTGCTTTTGCCTTAGTAAAAGCATTTCCTGCCTTCTTTAAACCACATTCACTAAGTGAAAACAACATTGTTCATTACCTTCAGTGTGCTGGTAATTATCTTGCCACAAAGTGACCCCCCACTGTCCAGGGGCTGCATGCTGGACTCCATCAACCAATTTCACTTCCCTGCCACATTAACAGTCAAAAGAAGCAACTACTGTTTAATATTTAAAGAAAATGTTTCGTTCTTAACTAGGAAAGTTCCTCTGAAGACAGCAGGCCTCAGCAGGTGGCTTAGGAGCTCAAATTTTAATTAAAATTTCTAGCTCTAAATGCAAATCACAGCACTCACTCAGAAATGCTTCTCAGCATGGACACCTTTATAAGCACATCACAGAGCCTTTAGAAAGTGGACTCTACAAAGGACAGGAGCACACACTGCAGGGGAAAATCCTGCACTGACCTACATGGACTGCATGACATCACAAATCTTTCAGTCTTTATTTTCTGTGGTTCACAATAGGAACAACTTTCTTCCGAACAACTAACGGGCACCACCACTCTCCTGTGCTGTCCCTTAAAAAAAAAAAAGGAAATTTGCATTGTAGGATATGAGCTGTTCCTTAAATTAATTATTGATTTTGCTCAGGCATAATCACTGGCAATTACAGTGCCTCGTAATATCTGAAAAACAATGATTTGAGACTAATGCAGTCTGAGGCCTCCCAGGGCACCCACAAGCACTGGAACACAGCCATGCACTCTCCAGAGCAAAGGTGTGCAGTGCTTGTTCAGGTCAGACAAATAAACTATTGCTTTGTTATGCAGAAAGTTGATTTACAGCATTTGTGGCTCTTCAGCAGGGCAACCACTGCTTTTAAAGAGCACAACAAAGCTCCTCTTCTTCGCCCTTTGGCTGGGTCCTTCTTCCCAGTGGACACGATGTTGGTGGGTCTTGTATGGGTTTCTCTCACTGATGCTGAAGGGCTGCAAGGCACCTTTTGTGGTGGTTGGCAGGAGCAAACCCATTGCCTCTTCCCCTTGAGCGAGTTTCACTACTCTGCTTAATGGAACTGAAGCCACTCAGGCTCTTTCTGGGTTTATTTTTGTTCCCTTCACCTCCATCAGTGTGTCACACAGCTTCCCCTTCCCACCCCTTCTCTCCCACGGGCTGGCCAGCTCAGCCAGTGGATCCAGGCCAGCCTACAGCTCCCTGAGAGTGCCAGACACGATGCCAGCCCAGCCCAAGAGCAGCTGTTCCCATTTCTGACATGTTTCATGTGCGTAGGAGGGCCCAATTTCATTTCTGTTGTGCTGCAGCCCTGCTGATCCCTTCTCTCCTCTCTCCACCCTTCTCTCCCTCAGCCTCATGTTCTTGTTGTTCTACTCAACTGCAGCCCTCTGTGGCTTGAGGCCAGGCCTTCATGTAGCCAATGGGACTGAATTCTTCCACATCCCATGGTTAACCTAGAAGTAATTAGAGATTCTCTGTGTGTACTATTTGCTTATTATTTTCGTGGACTTTGCGGTCTTTTTAATGTTTCTGAATTAATTTATGGGGTTCACCCACCTGAATTTGCAAGCAGGTCTCCCAGAGACTCCATTCACTGGGACCTACTCTGCCACACACACAGCTCACACATTGGAGCCCTGAGACCACACAGACATCTCCTCTGAGTTTCTGCTCAGCAGGCCACACACTGCTGTCTTCTGCCACTTTCATGCTCCCAGAGAAGCTACATGTTCATTAATATTTGCATTTTCTTTAAACACAAGAACTTAAACCCAGAGAAGCTGTGGCTGCCCCATTCCTGGAAGTGTTCAAGAGCCAGGTTGGATGGGGCTCTGAGCAACCTGGGCTAGTGGAAGGTGTCCCCACCCATGGCAGGGGGTTGGAACAAGATGGTCTTTAAGGTCCCTTCCAACCCAAACCATCCCATGATTCTGTGATTCTAACTTGGGAGATCACAGCTCTGTTGCTTTTTGAATTGCCACCAGCACATTCAGTCCATGCTCTGCCTTCATATATTCCTTCTGTAAAACGGAAATATTGATATCCTACAGTAGATAAATTCTACTGATCACTCTGATGTGTCCCCATGTCACTGCCAAGGAGTACCTGAAGCGAGAGATGTGGCTTTCAGGGAAGCTACCGAGGGTTTTTCCTGTTGCAGGAGAACAAAACTGTGAGAGTATCCAGGAAGAGGCATGGAGCAAAATGTGGCAAAAGGAGGAACCCAAGTGGAAAAATGAACTTAACACTTGAACACAACATCCAAGATCAGGCATCCTCACCTCATCACACGGGGCTATCCTGTGAATCATGTCTTTCAGATGGCCGATCATCCGCTCTTCCTGAAAGTCATATGGGAATGTCTCTGTCCACTCTGTCAGCAGCTGCAAGATTTTGGGTCCAAATTTTCTGATTCGAGCCTGAAATGGAAACCATTGAATGACGGACAGGGACTGAAATGTGTTTACTCCTCAAAGTCTCCCAGCAAACACGTGTGTCACTGAACGTGGGGCCAGATTTTCAAAGAAGGCATTTACGGTTGCACCTGCAAAATCTGCCACATGCACACAAACAGTGGGGTGCACCAGTGATACACTTGGGCATGCAAAATATACCAGAACTTGGATGCATGCACAACTGTCTGTTTTACATGCAGATTTAAGTATTCTGCACATGCAATTGGGCTGGTTTATGGCTGGATAGACATTTTGTTGGTGCAACCTTTATACCTTCTCTAAAAATGTCTGGCCTTTTTTGCTGATTTGAACCATTTGTCCTTCTCTTTTGTACTTACAACCCTGCTACATTTACATCCTTATCTGAAAAATTGACTGGAATGAATTTTTTGACCAACAAAGAGGTTTTTTTGCTTCTCTGCTTTCTGGCTGTATGAACAAAACTACTTACTGACCAGAGGCAGATGTAAGATGAAGACGAAAAGATGGACAAAACAGCAGCACTTTAGTAACTTGACCTGTGCTACTGATAATGTTGCTCTCTTCCCACATGAGCTCAAGGTCATGATAGGACAAGGACACTCAGTCACATAACACACAGCTGATGCCCACTTTTCTTTTGGTGTAGATTTATCTGAGGATGCAGCAGTGGGAATAGTCAGGATGATACGGGGCGAGGAGGGAAATGTGGGGAATAGCACAACTGGTTGCATTAGTGTTATCTCAAAAGATGGCCAGCACAGCTGCTCCCAAAGCTTTCATCCTCTGTTATCCAAGAGCACGTGAAAAGAAAATTGTGTTAAACAACAAACTGCATTTTTATTTACTGAAAACACAGACTGAAACAAACAGCCTTCTTCTGTATCCTACGTACTGCAGCTAAAGTGCACCCTGTAATCAGGAAAAATTATACTCTTAAGCTCCCCAGCTCTTTGTTTTTCAAACAAGGTGGTTAAAATGCATATTTCAGCTTTCCACCAACAACAGGTTTCAATGAACCACATCTCTAAAAATAACTGCTGTCAGCTAGCATTAAGCTCAGGCTCAAAGACCAGCAGGTGGCTGCTAAAGGGAAAGCTTTATTGGAAACTACAAAGGTCTGGGGAGACATTTGCTCCAGCTGTGTAAACTGTATTGCCAATCGATGGAGGGGACTTTGTGCAAGTCACAGGACACAGGGGATGGGAGGTCTCCTGTGTGCAAGGTTTCAAAGTGGGCCCCGCTCTCAGGGAACACAAAATCAGCTGTGTCCCCCCACCCCTGTGTTCCTACAAAACACAGATTCACTTCAGGCAGGTAAGACACCTCTCTAATAAGATAGTGTTTCTCATTTCTTGAAAGTTTAATGAGCAGCAAAACTTTGCAATGCTCACATTTTAATCCTCCTAAACTTGCATCTGTCATAGAATTGGAGAGCAGAACCCATCACACCTTCTAAAACTTGTTTTGCTTGGTGCACTTCACACAAATATTTCTATTTAAAAACAAGGAGTGTTCAGGCAATCCAAGTCTCGGATTGCTGAGCAGTCTGGTGAATGGCTCTCCACAGTGAAGGCAGAGCTCCTGTTACTCATGCAACCAGGTGCCTGTGCAAAAACAAGCACAGGTGTTCAGATCTGGTGACTCAGTCTTTGATGCCAAAACTACTGTTTCAAAGCTGGAAAGGCTGATCCCGAGAACAATTTCAAAATTTTGGGGGATCTGAAAAGTTGCAACTACTGCATGTTCTTCTTCCCCCTCACTGCTCTGAAGGTGCATCTCCTGCTCCAGGTAATGCACAGGATAGGTCTTCAATGTACCCAGGAGAGCTTGGGCAGAATCCAGCACTGAACAGGATCCAGTGGGATCCGTCACCACTGCACTGTCTGTGGCACTGCCAGAGGGTGCACATGTGTTTCCACACACTGTATCAGCCTGCACAGTCCCTGGGGCAAAACAGGAGCAGTGCTGAGGCAGGAACAGCTTGGATTTTCTCATCTGTTTGCCTGTCACAGCCTCACTGCTGTTCCCACTCGTTCCTGGTGTGCCAGGCAGCGCCGGCGGCTGCGGCCGGTCTGTCAGCACTGCGAGGTTAGTGGGTACCTGCATGCTGTTACAGAGTGCTCAGAGGCACAGGGAAGGCCAGGAGGAAATATTACTGTGCCAGAAGCAAGAAAGCAAAAGGGCAGAGGGATTGAGTAAAAACGGGGAGAGTGGTGTGTCGACATCTGCAACCGCCAGCGTGTGAGGTTCCCGTCCTACCTCCTTGCATCCCGCAGGCTTCATCAGAGCCTTAAAGAAGTTAAGAAGGAAAGTCACCTGGGAAGGCTGAGACAGGGGGAAAGGGAAAATTAGAAGAAGATTTGAAGTGATTAGTGCCTGGAGCACTGCTCTCAGACATGGATACTAGGACGCCTCAATGTCAGGATTTCAGTGGCAACCGTCATCCTTTACGAGAAAGCTTCACTCAGTCCAAAGGGAGGCAAAAAGGACACACAGCCAAGCCCCAGAATTCTCTGCCCACTGGAAACACCTCACGTTTTTCTGCTGCCAAGATAAACTCACCTTGTCCAGCACGGGGTCGTCCAGCCGCTGCTGCTCAATGCACTTGTGACAAACTCGGGACAAAAGCTCATGGGGTTCGATGAAGAGTCTGGAACTCAGCAGGAATGTAAAGATATAGGCTTTCTGGGGGAGAAACACAAGCAGACCTGCTGTAAGCAGCCACACAGAGGGTAATATTGACCATAAAAGCCCTGAACTCCACAGTTTTTGCATTTTCACCAGGAAAGACCTTCATGTCTGGAAGACATAAGGATTCCTGACCCTGAATATGGAACTGGTTATACTGGGTGCAGGAGGCAGTGGCATCTCCTTTCTCCACAGAATCCACTTCCAGCCCTTGGTTGTCTAAATATCCAGCAAAGACAGTGTGGAGGTCACTCTGCAGGAGCAAGCCCAGGAACAGGAGACAAGACCAGGATATTGGGAGCCAGTAAAGCTAAATGTGCAGACACTCAGGAATCTCTGTGTTGTACTGGGTTGGGAGCTGCAGACACCACCCTCACATCAGCCACATCTTGCTCCTGCCCTGCAAACTGCCTTCAGCCTGTTTTAACCAATATTTCATTTATTCTACTAACTCCCCAAAATTCATTTCTATCAGCCAAGTCATATCATATGCAGTTCCACATCTGTGAAGCTGTGGGAAGCAGGTCTGCTGGATAAATCCTTGGATTATTTAAATTATCCCAGCAGTGAATTTAAAATATATGCATGAAGCCTCAGTTGTTTGCATCCTGACCCCTCCTGGCACCTGAATTATCTTCTTTCCCCCAGCCCTAGCCATGCTCCTGAACAGCAGGTATAATATTACATATCACACATTGCTTAATGGAAATCTCACAGCCTGATCTGTCCATTACCTATTTTTATTGCCTTTCCATTCCCCCCTTTTTTTTTTTTAATTGAGATGCTTCTTCATTACTTATTTTTAGCTGATCAGAAACTGAGCTCTGGGTAATATAAAATATGCTGCCTGCTCTGCATTGATAACTTTCCTAGTCTTCTAAAGTGCCCAGAAGTCAATGCTACTCTGTGCTTTGAAATACAAGCCTTTCCATGGAGATATATTAGCACTTTAAAGTCTTCCAGTCAAACTGTGTCTGAATTCCACTGAGGATGTGCAAAACCCAGTGAAGTCAACAGCTTGCAGGACCATAAACCTGCTTCCAGTTTAGATCCTCACACTGCTGGTGAAGAAAAACAATATTCACCGATGGAGCAAGGATTAGGATCTGGGCTGTGCTGTCCAGGGACTGCAGAGCTGGTGTGAGTATAACACCAGGTAAATTATGAACCCATCAGAAGAAGCATCTCTGTGTCACCGAGGGAATGCTTTGTACATACAGGCAAACCTGGATGACTTCAGCAGCCACTGAAATTCAGCTAATTTAATGCCAGTTCAGACTTGGAAGTTTTTTGCTTCAGTGTTCCTCTAAACCTCTCTGGGATGCACTGCTATTTTTGAACTGTTCCAACTGCTACATCACTAATTCATCACCACGACAGCTCCCCCCCACCAACCCTGCTCTCTTATTTAAAGGCAGTATCATCTTTGGGATCTGCTTCTTCATGGGAACAATTATAGAGCAGTGAGGCAGCATTTAAAGCAATGCATCAATTTACCAAGCTTTAATTGTATGCAGCTTTTAAATTAGCCTTCTTAATTCAAAATTTAACACATTTGCACTTTTGCATAAAGCGCTGCCCCAATTCACCAGAATTAAACCGTTTATTATCCTGTGAATTGCTTACTTCAGGGTAGTAATCAGTGGTAGGTATCAGATGCTGGATTAGAGCATCCAGAGATGCTGAGGTAAGGTTTCCATCCTGGAAGATCAGTCCTCCTTGTTCACCTTCTTTCGAAGTATGTAGATGAGGGCTGAAGCCACATGGGGTAAACATACTGGTGGAACTCAGTGTTTGGGGCATGCCTTCCTGCAAGAGAGACAACACCCATCAGACCCACGGCCACTTCTGGCTGATTTGAAAAACACAAGTCACTAAGGAGAGCTCCTTGATCACAAAATCAACACAACCCCTTCATGATAACTGCTTTTCTTGTTGGCATGGGCAGATCGTGCCTGTGATGGGAAGCACACAGGAAAATGGGACATTTTGAGTTGGTTTTGGGCCAGAAAGTGATGGCAGCTACTTTGGGCTCCCACCCCCATCGAGAGTGTCTGTGGTGGCTCTCTTTTTGCTGCCATCCCTGGTCAGTCCCCAGTAGGAGAGGAGAAATACCTGGGACTTGAATTCCTGAGCAGAACGGAGCAGTTTGTTTGAACCTCTGCCCTCCCGAGAATGAGGCAGGGAGAACTGAGGGAGAGAGAAGTAGAGAACAGAAGTGCCACCTAAGGCTTGCTCAGGATGGGCCTTGAAAAGTGTCCTGTGGCTCCCATGGGACAGGGGAGGTGTCAGAGTGAGCGAGGAGGTGGAAACATGAGCAGAAGTCAACTGGGGGAGGATGGAAAAATGAAGTAAGTTGGAGAGAACAGAGAACGTGGGAGCTGATGAAGAGATTAAAGAGCAGGGAAAGGAAAAATGAGGAAGAGGGAGAGAAGGCAGACACCTGCACTATATTTGGAGCCTGAAGTTAGTCAGGCCTAGATCTATACTTAGGTACTAAATAAATGTTTCAAAGAGATCCTGAGCACTCTTTGCCTTCACCAGAGATGCAGAGTCCTCAGCACTTTGGAAAAGGAGGCCAGGCAGACTCCGAGCACATAGCCCAGTTTCAAGCTTCCTGTTTTTCAGTTCTCTGGGTTTTTCAGGCTGCATTCTAGGCTTCATCTCTATTTTGAGGTTTACAATCAGCTTTAAATGTTCCTTCTGTTGAGCAAAGTTGTTTTGTTTTTGAATTGATGCAGAGGGATGACAGATTTTGCCCTGAGAGCTTTAAAGCGTTTCAAGCTGCCTCTAAAATCCCCCCTGGAAGCTGCTCCTCAGCTAAAGGCAGTATTATAGGACATGGACTGGGAAAAGGGCAGGATGTGGACTGGGAAAAGGACAGTTCATGCTCCCTCACAGGTCTGCAAATGCATCATCCAGAGCAAGGGACCCTTCCGGGACCTGACTATTTGGTTCTGTTTGATTTTACCTCACGCAAGGGAGGACGAGAAAGAGATGAGGGATGGGAAGAGTATCAGAGCCAACCTCTACTGCCCTGAGCAGCTGCAGAACTTCTCCCAGGACTCCAGCTCTCCCTCCTGAGCACAGCCTCTGCCTGCTGGAAGAGCAAGATCTGCACCCTGTGGCCTGCTGAGCCAGCACCAACCTCCCCCATCGGAAGGGCCACGGGCTGGCAGTGCCTGTTGCTGCACCTCAGCCTGGCAGGGCTCGGGCACACACAGCCAGCAGACACATCTTAGTTTTTAACATATTTCTCTGCCCTTTCCTCTATTCTGTCTCATCTGCTTTTCTGCCTCTTTACCACCCCATACAACTTTAAAAGCTGGCCCAAAATTTTGAGTTTGCCTTTCTCCCTCCCGTTATGGGCAGCTGTGCTGTGACCCAGACAGCTCAGCTTCAGCTACAGGTACAGCATGTTGTGGGCACTCCTGTAAAACCCTCTCTCTGCCTGGCACAACCCATCTACTCCCCCAGCTCAGGCTGCTGCACTTTGCCAACTCAGAGCCGCCCTGGATGAGAAGGGCAGTGTCCTGGGAGCCAGGCAGGGTGTGAAGCCCTGGGAGAGGCTGGGAGCTGGGTCCCAGCACCGTGGGAGATCAGGCTTTGCAAGCAAAACTTGGGTGACTTCATCCTTCAAAGGAGGGAGCGTTCCCTGGAGCCAGCAGTTTGATCACTGCATCTTATCTCCTCCTGGGAGGCTCACATGGGCTGCTCTGGGATCTGCAATCACCACAAACGAACCAAAACGCCAAAACCAACTCCTGCCTCGGCTGGAAAATAAAATACACGCTGGCTTTTAGTTTAAAGACCAGAGCATCTGAATGTCATCCCAGCCAGGATGGAAGCTGAAGTATCTAGTTTTAATGAATGTGCAGATGTGCCTGTTAATAAGGTTCTGAGAACAAATAATTGCTGCTTTTTGTACACAGCTTAGACTCTGTGTAGTAAATGGGAAGCGCTGCCAAATCCCATTTGTTACTTCTAACACGCTCTGTGTTATTGCTTGTTTCTATGGCAATAATCCCAAGAAGGATTTCATGTCCACACAGATCAAGAAATAAATCTCATGGACATACAGCTGTCTAGATGAGGAAAAGAGAAAGTTGAAACAGCTGTGAACTTACAGGACACATCCTGGCTTCAGCATAAAACAGAACTCACGAGTAATGATTTATTCGGTGCAATCCCTCACTGTCAGTGCCATTTTCATTATCAAATGGAAACACATCTAAACAGGATATTGCCTCAACTTTTGCATCTTATTACAACAGAAATCTTACCGAAATACATAGTAATGCTTCTTTTAAAAAAAGTTACAGTTTTTATTAAACTGAAATAAAACAGCTGTACAACTGTCACTGGGACATCCATCCTGGATGTTGTCAAGAAATAAAATTTGACTTTTTATTAGGAATTTCCCGGTCTAATCTTAAGTTTTCAGGCAAGGCCTGTGTTGTATCTGATTGCCACCTTACCTGCCACCAAAGAAGACATGAGGATTTTAACTACCTGCCTTTTTGTTCTCTGTTAACTGATACTATTATGTTCACAGCAGGATGAGGCCAACTGTACAAAGACTCTCTTGCACTACTAAGCTTGAAAATAACTAACATTATTATTTGGCAGACAGGAACGCAGGACAGGGACTTCTCTGCTCACAACACCTAATGCCCTTTTTCTGTTTGTGCATTTCCAAAGTTTTCTTTTCAAGGGTACTAAATAGAAACAAGATCTTTCTTTGAAAGAGCCCAAATATACAGCTGCTCACAATAGGCAGAGGATAAGGCTCTGCTGTCAATCACTCCCAGAATACAGAAACAAGGGCAGCACTGAGAGGAAAACAAACAAGCAAACAACCTCAAGGAGATTTGTCTTATTGTACTGACGGTGGTTTGGATGATGGAAAAGGCAGGTGGTGTAGACAGAGGCAAACCCTTCCCAATAGAGCACAGTGCCAGGATGAGAGGCAGCAGCCCCAGGCTGCAGCAGGGAAATTCCAGCTGAAGAGAAAATCATCCCCTGAGCACCATATCAAATTGGAAGAGGGACCTGGAAAGGATGTTCAATTTCCAACCTGGGAGATTTTCAAAAACTCAGCTAAACAAGGCCCCGAGCAAACTTCAAGCCCTGATTCAAGTGTGAGCTTGGACTAACGACCATGAGAGGTCCCTCCTGATTAACCTCTCTGTGATCCCAATACACACCTTTCTCAAACTATTTAGTACTGTCCCATTTCCAAGCTTTCTCATATAAACCATGGCAAGTAAAAATGGAGTCCAGATTATCAGATATTCATAAAGAAGTCCACCCTGGGCACTTTTCCTGGAAACAACAGCTCAGATGTGGTAAAAATGTCTCAAAACCTCACTTGAGAACCACTTGAAGTTAACCTGAAGTCAATGAGATTTAAGCATGCAAACATTCAGCAGATAAGTGTTTCCATGAACTTTAGTCCAATTCAACACACAGAGTGTTGCTGCTCCTCTCATTTCAGAAACAAATCAGATGCCAATTTCAATTGATAACTCGTGCTCTGGAGGAAGTGCTGCGGGTGGGAGGGTAATGAAGGGCAAACTTCCACACCCCAGCATGCAAAATGACTGATGATACAGGTGGCAATCAAAAACCCATCTCTGAGCAGGTGGTACTGAGCAAGGTGGCACAGGAGAGGTCCCTCCTCACTTGGTGGGGCACTTTGCAGTAAGATGTCCTCATGACTCCCTAATCCCAAAATCGAGGAGGACAATGGTGTCACACCAGATCACAGCGGGCTCCCAAGTCTTGGGGTTGTGTGTTCAGCCAAGGATTGGGAAATGCAACAGCTCAAGCAACAGCTTGTTCAACTGTGGCTTTTCTGGATGATAAAATCTGGTTTTCTGGAAGTGAGCCCAGTGCCACCCCAGAGGAAATGCACTTCTGGGATGTTATGTTAGAAACTGGAACAGGGAACCTTCTCCTGTATTTATTTCTACCTCTGCTCTTTTTTTTTTTTTTTGCTATTCTTCTGTTTATTTGCTTCTTGGCTTTTATTGGCTGTTACAAAGTGCTCTTTTTTTGCACTCCTTCAATATATTTCATATGTTCATAGGATTGAAAAGTAGTAATTGAAAAGTAATGGTAATATACTGCTTTTAAATCTTTCTCCACTGGCCAGCACAGCTCAGCATTCCAACCCAGTGATGAAAAGAGGCAATCCATCGACACCTCTCACTACAAATTATACTGCTTACACAAAAATATTTAAGGACTTGATTCACTGAGCTAAAGCATGGAACCAAAGGATCACCACCCAGGTAGCTGTACCTATCTATATCTGCAAGTACCTTAAAAACTCCAGAAAACTAGTGCCCAAACCTGCAAAACAGAGCAGGGCACGGCTTAAAGGGCTGCCTAACCATGCACATAATGCAGGCCCACTGATCTGTGGCAAGAGAGGTTTGAGGTGCTAGAGGATGGCTGCAGGCTGCCAGCTCTGCCTGCCTGGGGCCAGGCAGGTGACCTGCAGCAGAGCCACGAGGGTAAACACCCACCAGCCTTCCCCAGCCCCACCACCTGCTGCTACACAAGTGTCCCCATGGCAAGTACAGTTAATGCTTACGTGGACACGAAACGCTCAGGAAACATTTAATGTGGTTTTCAAGCGGCTTTGATGTGATAAGTGTTTTATCCTTTATCAAAAACTTAATCACGCTGTTTACTTTTGATCCTCATTTCATCTCTGCCTTCCATCTGCTCTGCCTCTCTCAAGGGGAAACAAGAGCTGGTGCCATGTGACGAATGGAGCGGGGCTGCAGACTTATCTTCCC